TAGAACTGTACCAGCCTCTGACGACTTAAGGTAGCGGCCTTGCGAGGGTGCGGCTTTGGTCTCGCAGAGGCGACCAGTGAACGGTTTTCCGGTCGTTGTCGTGTGGCATTAAATGAGGAAGCATGTGGAACATTGTTCCCGATAATTGAACCGCGTTACATGCGCTGTTTACCGGATTGATGTGCAGGTGTGCATCATCGCCTGCACCATGGCTAATTAATTAGTGCGCATCGCCTCTGATCCGACTTCGAGATGTTATCCCTGTTCGCTCGCATTCGTAATTGATAGTTCGGTGGGTATGGCGGCTGCGACGGTTCTATGCGCCGCTCGCCACGTCGCTGTAAATGAGATATCGATTCCGCGTGTCACGGATACGTTCAGACTCAGTCGACTTCCCTCGCAGGATGGGGCACTCCTCCCACATTTTCCTCAAATGCGAAACGAAACGAAATTGTACAAGTACAAACAGTGCTAATCGAATGGCACGGTTGGAATCGACTGTCGTGCCTACGTCATAAGCATATGCAATTCACGAGCACAATGCCAGTTTATTATGTCTTTCATTCGGTAATCACGAAACGTGTGGCTGGTAGTTGTTAATGCGGTGGTGGAGGGGGGACGAGGCAGGGTCGGCGTCGGACTGATCAGTAACGTTCATTTGAGAGGGGCGGACGGTTTGGTTACGTCCAACGGTTCCTCCGCGTCTTGACGATTGTCTGTCATGATTGTCATCTAGGCTTAGCCAAACTTGAATTGCATGGAAGGCAAGATCCGTGATATTTGACTGTTTTAAATGGTGTCTACAGTTCGGATTAGGCAACCTACGCTTCTGCAGCAAAGGTTACACTCCTTACCGCAAGCAGCCGCGGGCAAAATGTGTTTTCGAATTTTGTATTATCTTCCAAGCCTTTTGTGCGCAGAGCACAGATCCTTTATGAGGAAACTTTTGAAGAGATCTTCTTTGTCCTTTTCCGTCTGTTTCATCAAAACAAACCGGACGGTGTTCTCTGACCTCTTCCGACAGTTTTTTCATAGAGCTGGTCTCCAGCACCTGCTCACTGATGGTACGGTGGTGCTATCACACTTTGAGAATACGTCGTAGACAAAATTGACGGAAGCTGCTAACCAGAGCTTCGTGACTCGTCGGCAGGGCGTCTGCAGAGCGAGCAGTTGCTCCATGAGGTTAAGCCAAAACGGAGGAGCTTCGCTTCTCCGTGGCTAGTGGCCCAACGACCAATTCTCGGTGTGTGCTTCGACTCGACGACTCGTCGCTGCTAATCGACAAACTGGCCTAATGAAGAGTCACTTTCGCAGTGACTGACCACGAATTGATTCACACAGCGCTCTCTGCGGGCTGTCGATATTGCCGCCCCTCGTTTCCTCATCTCGACGTATCGCTTGAGCATCAGGATGTGGTAAAGCGAACGACGTTGCCCGAAAGCGTCGCCAAGCTCGACACGGAAGTTGTCTTGCTCCTCGTCGTGCTTCTGGTGTTCTTTTCGTTTCCAGCGGTGACGAACGAAGAGGCCACTGACCTCTTCGTCGGTCCTTCGTTCTAAGAACCAATCCTCTGCTACCATCGCCGTCGCCATCGTCATCGGACTCTCGGTTTCTTGGTGCGGCAGATGCCGTCGGCGGAAACTGAGACAACGACGACGCTGTCGTCGTAGTCCGTGCTCTTCTTTACCTCGTCCCTCTGCTGCCTGCATGACCGCCGCCTCCGCCGTCGTCACTCGTCGCCTTGCTCACACGTCGTCGTTGTGACGGTGCTCGACGACCACCCAAAATCCGATGTCTCGCCCGCGATCGCCGTCGACCACCGCCGCCACCGCGGATGTACTGTATGCCGTCGGTAATTGCGTGATGTACTGTTTCGTTGACTG